TGTCACTCCTATATGCTCCAGAGTCTGCTCTCTGCTTCTCAGCCGCTGTCGTTCATTCAAAAACTGTCAGCTCATGCGGTTGAATAGTATTATCAGCATGTGATTGTGGGTAATGATCCGCCGCGCTTTGGCCACAGCACTTTGAGTTTTCTGTCGCCAGCTTGTAGACGCAGTGAGGAGTTTGGAAAGCGTGCGGTCACGGAGCTTCAATCCGCCGGCTTCTGGCTTCCCTGCCAGGCAAAACCTGCTCTAGACAAATGGTCCTGCGACGCTTGCAACCGTGACACCGCGGCAAAATATGCACACATTAATAAGTCATTTCAATTGAGGCGGGTGTTGATGTGCGGTGTTGGGCAAGTTACGACCAAAATGTAATTTATCATATATTATTTCTAGATGTTTTTTTTTTTCAGTAAGTCGTTATATAATAATCATGATTGCATGCAACATTTGGCCCACCAAAAAAAAATCCATCCATCCATTTTCTATACCGCTTATTCTCAATTAGGTAATGGGTGAGCTGTAGCCTGGACAGAGTAAGTTTGGGACAAGAGGTGGGGAACACCCTAGTATAGTCGCCAGCCCTGAAAGGAAAAGTCACAGAAAAAAATGATATTGGAGTTGCATGTAAACTATGTTGGAGGCTAGTCTATGATGCTGCATATCATGAGTGACATGCACGTACACACTGAGTACAGCCCATCATTGGTGTGTATCACAAATGACAGTGCAGTGATTACATGTACAGCGACTAAAATGCCAGACAATTACTGCACATTTAAACCACACAGGAAGAAGCGATTTGAACTTAAACCTTACAAAAAAAAGAATGCATATATATATATATATATATATATATATATATATATATATATATATATACACACACTTCTATCTTTATTTTTAACAGTGTACAGTATGTAGAGAAAAACAAAACATTTGCATGGGGTCTTGTTAGAATTTGCGAGCCACTCTGTTGGATGAACGCTTCGTATTGCGCATTGATGATGGCACGTATAATGACAGCAACAAGTTCATTGGAGAAAAATGTAAACACTTGAACGTCGTTCATGTTTAAAATGGGATAACTGTTTAATAAATGCAAGTTAGCCCTTGTATTATGAATGTGTTTCAAATGTGTCTGCTCACTACAGCGTCAACGCAACCGGCACTCTTCTCTCAATCATTGACTCTTAATTCATGTTGTCAAGTCGTAAAAGCTGAATCGCAGCCCAGATAAAGGCACGTTCATAAAACTTGATGCAAAGTTATAAAAACGTTCTATAGCTTCATACTGATTTATATTATGGCCTCAGTGTTGTACATTGCCGGCGAGTCTGTACTTTTCCACGGCACTCATTTGTTTAAGTTCTGCTGTGTTTCTGCATTAATGCTTCATGTCAGTCAAAAAACACTACAACCAAAAATAGTTTGTCTTTCCCTCCATCCAGCTAGGAAAGCTGAACCAGATTGCTTGCTCCTCTGGGCATTTTTTCTAATACATGTCAGTAGGTGTACTTGTGTGCTGTACTTACTGATAAAGTGTATTTCTGCGGCCCCTTTTCTCCGTGCAAGCCGTGTGGATATTTGTATCTGTGTGTGAGCTAGCCACTGCGTTTGCTTATTCTCCCTCCAGTCTCCAGGCTCCATTTCATGTAAAGTTGCTCAATTCAAACCATGTTCCCGTCTGCTGAGAGACCCCATGCAGCTGGCGGAAATAAACGTAATGACTTTTTCAGTGTTGCAGCAGCACTCGGAGCCCATTTGAATTACAGAGATGTGAGCAAATGGCGTTCGACTTGGACTATTTTCAAGCAAGAGAAGAGCATCGTTTTGACCGTCTGCTTCTACTCACCTTCAGGCTACACACATCCATCACTGATACGCTCCCAAAAATATTCATTTCCATTCATTTAAGGCACATGTAGAGTATATAGTTGCATTTGTTTTCATGAATGAACATTGATGGGGATTCAAAGTCTTGTGAGACTTTAGTTCACCTGTTTTCGTGAAAATGTCATTGAATTCCACAATGACGCAACTTTAGGAGTCTCTATTAATTACACCGAGACCTACACATAAGAATCGATGCATTCATTTACTGACCAATGAGTCAGCATGAGCTAGCGATGTGGCAAATCTGACTATCCGGGAAGCGTTTCGGTGTTGGGAATCCTGACAGAAGTTTCTAGGGAATAGACTGATGGAGGTGGAAATCCTTCGCTGCGTGAACTGGGTATCATACCTAATAATTTTCTGCCACGAGAGTAATACCGCAGCGCTGTAATGCAAAAACCGGCACAGCAAGTCCGAACCACAAAGCATCTGTCTGTGAAATGAGAGAAGGCGCGTTTGCTGTCCTGCCAACAGCTATTGCTTGGATTCCTTTTACTGTACTACGAATGACTGATTTTATTTTCACTAATAAAAAGCGGCATTCTCACTTCACAAGAGCAAAACAATGCGTAGGAGTCCGGCGACTGCTATTACCTCATCGGTGGTTAACGCATGCCCGTGGCTTGTTCATTTGCAGATTGGCCATGTCTACATATGACGTTCTTTGTAATTATGCACTTTACATCTAGTAAAGCGTGATCACTCATCGGGAAATAGCTTGTCAAACGTTCTGCACCAGTCCTGTGGAGATACAATGCTTAGCACTCATAACTTATCAGGCTTCCGTTGCATTGTTAGTACAAAACTCATAAGCCTGCTTCAGACAGTGGATGAATAATGTAGAAGGGACACTATTGAATAAAAAGTGTTATTTAAAACTTAATAAATGCTTTCAATCCCTCGCATGGTTTCGAAGGTCAGAAAATGTCAACGTGTGGATCTGTGGCTTCTCCAGTGCTAGTTAACACATCACGGATGTTGGCTGGTATTTCAGCACAACCTAAATGTCACAACTCTGAAACTATCTTGCATTCCAAGATGAACAAAAGCAGCTTTATTGGTGGTCTTTTTCCCGAAACTGCTCAAGCGATTGCATAGTTGTGTCAATGAGTCAATTCCGGAGTGGAGATAGAAGCTATGACAAACAACATTTTTTTTTTTTTTGGTCAGGATTAAGCGAGAACTCGCCGCCAGAGGAGGAACTGTGGTCTAATTTGTTTATGGAGAGCATCAGCTTTCGACAAAATCCTCCTGCTACCTCTCACTTTTCTCATTGCATCCCCTCTCGTTTGTGTCCGATCCCTTTTCTTGTCCTTAGGGTCTCATCCGGAATGACCACCCGAGAAATGAGACATTGGCTATCCGCACTTGTGCGCAGGTTGAGATGCATGCAAGCACCTTTCTGCGTCAGCACCTGGAATGAACACCACATGTGCACGAATCACAGCGCAGGCTAATGAAGGCCGGTCCGTTATTTATTTCCTGCGGTTCTGTCGCTTGGCCCGTCAATGCACCTGTGTACACACGTGCGCGCGCGCACACACACGCACATACGCAGATACACACATCCACGCCATCTGTCTATAATGGCCATTCTTTTTAGTACTGCATAGCACTGCAGTCCCTCGAGTGGTCATTAGACGAGTGAGGGAAAGAGACCCTTGCTTTCTGCGTAGATTTGGAACACGTTTTTTCTTTTTCTTTTTTTGGGGGGCCGTGCTCCGGGACGAGGAGTTGAGTAGGCGGGTCAGGGCAGGGTGGACCAATAATGCTTCGCGATTGCAGTAGCACACAAACATGCCGAATATTTACTTTCCCAGCTGCCATATGAGTACAAACGTTGGAGAGCATTTTCTTGGATTAGCAAAAGCCATTCCAAAACATTTCTTTTAGCTACAGTGCTCTGCCTCACTAATTTTGCAGTGACGGTCAACGTTCGGCTGGACATCTGCTCTCATTATATCCACAACACTTAGCTTTTTGGCCTTGCGGCCTTTCCCAAATCCCCTCCGTTGGCTCCCACTAATCCCTGACAATGGCGGAAGGACATGGCCAAGAAGAGGTGCGGTTGAGGGTGTAGGTTGGCAGTTCCCAGAATAAAGAGAAAGACGGCTCAAATGTCTTGTACTCACATTGCACTTCTAGAATAGACCAAGGAGAAGAAATGCCAACATCCCCAAAAAGCCTGCTCTTATGAGAATCCAGTAGGATTATGCTGTATGTTTGAATGTTATCACAACAACCACTTTGAAACGTTACCCGAGTACAGTGGAACCCGCAAGGTCAAACACATTGGAGTCGTTGATTGTCTTTCAATTTGTTCTGATTTGGAACAACCTTTCCCGAAGGATATGGAGCAAATAAAAATAAGCCATTCTAGTTTCAATGTATCACCAGCATGAACAGTACAGGGGATTTGGAGTGATATTCTTTGTTGCCATTCAATTTACTAAAGGAAGATGAGCACAATTGACTGTAAAATCTAAAATACAAAAACACTGACGAAAAACAATTTAAAACCATGATCAAGATGTGAATACTAGTATAGTGAGTCATGCTGCTTTGAATGTGTGTTTTCTCCCCCCCAATTTTTGGTGCACTTACCGTATTCCTTTTGTTGCATATGCGTCTTCTTCACACACACACACACACACACACACACACACACACACACACACACACACACACACACACACACACGCATACACACACACACACACACCCCGTGATGCGCTACAAGCCAAAAATGTCGAGCATGATTTGTGAACAACTCATGTGTTGTCATGATGGTACCCACCCTCAACAGCTGGAATCTGTGGTGCATGAGACCACCTATTTAGCTGGAAAATAAGCCGTTACATTTCCTTCTCACTATTTGTGAAAAGATATTACCCCTAAAACTAATCAGGAAATAATCTACACTCTTAAGACTATTTTCTCCACAGTTGTTCCCAGCTGTATAGTCGAACTGTAAGTACAGAATGTGCAAAAGTTTTTATTCATTTATTTTTTTGGCAAGGTTCCAAATCGAAGAGAGAACAGTTCGAAAATAAAGATGAAATATTCATGCTTGTTTTTTTTTTTTTGTGTTCTCTTCTTTGCAGGGAGCTGAATGGTAACAATCTCACACGCATCACCAAGAGTGACTTTGCTGGTCTCAAATACATCCGAGTTCTGTAAGTTTTGTGTCTGTCCTCCACACTCTCTGACATCACACGCCACCCTATCAGGCTCCGCCTCTTAAAGGCGCCTGCATGTGCACCGTCCGTTCTATAAAATTATTTTCCTGTAGGTTTTTTTTTTGTATGTGTTCAATCATACAAGCGGTTTATCTTTTAATTCGTTTAAATGTGTTGACGCTCGAGATAAACATGTCAGGAGAGGAATTCATTTTCACTCGTTCACAATACTATGGAATAAATGGAATCATCCATCCATCTGAATCAGAATGCCTCTACCTGTCCGTCATTGTTCAAATCTACAGGAAGTGTCTTTGCTTTTGACTTTCGTGGAGGTCGATATTTTTGTGAATATGCTACTTTTAGCGTTGTAAAAACAGATTGATTGGCAGCCTATAACTTTAGAACAGTATCGTTTGTCTCGATCTGAATGCACTCATGATCGACAAACACAATTGTACGCATAGTCACAAAGCTCACATTAGCATATGCTCAGTGAAGTGGTCTTATGGAGAAGTACTCCACAGTACATTAAGCAGCCAAGTGATTGTTGCAGGTCAGGTAATGGACTTCTCTCTCTCAGTGGGAACTGTGTGTTGTAGCATCATTTTATTGTGCCCTCTGTTCCTATAATCACCATGCGCACTGTTTTGAAATTGTAACTTCAGGAATTCAAACGCTCTTTTTTTTTTTTAAAGCGGCAAGAGAAGCCGTGTCGACATTTAGCATGTTTTGAGTGTAATGTGAGCCCCACACAATTCTTTCTGGCCCCTTGGAGTCCTATTTTCCACCGTTTTCGTTATTCCCCCTCGCCACCCCATCCCTCTTGCCTTGTCTACTGAATCTATTCTGTGCCTTGTTCACACTGCTGCTTGTCCCCTCTCGTCGTCTGCCCTTGTATTCCGTCTGCACCATCACCTACCCCTCCACTTTTAATGTCACCACAAGGTCAGAGAGGTCAGGAAAGACAATAAAACCTCATGTTTCTGTATGCGATGCATGACACACACATACGCACACACATACACTATGCGTGCATGCATGTCATCTACCAAAAAGTTGTCCTTTCTTTTAAAATGGGGTCGTCGTTGACATCTAATGCTACTGACCCCGAGGCAACCCTCAGGAGGAACCAAAAAGAAACAGCGGTATATCTTTGCTGTTAGCTGTCTGCGTAACGTCAACACCGCCGACTAACATCCCCTTTGTCCGGCGCCACATTTAAATCAATAGTTTGTGTTCATGCCAGGCAAGACAATCACTTTAAAAAAAAAAATATATATATATATATATATATATAATGTGTGTGTGTGTGCGTTTTTAAACTTCAGTAAGTCTAAAGTGCTGATATTTTTTCCCCATCTAAATTCATGAGTAAGGGATCAAAACTGAATTGCACTTTTTTCTCAATGTTTATGGAGTGCAAACAGTGATTAGCATTTATATTTGATGGCGAGGAAGTACAGACGGCTGAGTTCTGGGAGACGGGAGAGGTGGCCTTCAACACGGAACAGTTGTATATGTCATGAAGGAACACTCTTGTTTCTCCCATAAAGTCTCCTTCTCAAATTTGTGTTATTGTAACACTTCAAAATCATCCAAACCCCATTTTTGGGAAACTAGCTTTGGCAGTGGCCAGGTGAGTAGTGTGCCTCCATGTTTATGAAGACTTTTTTTTTTTTTTTTTTGCTTTGACTTGTCAGCATAAATTTAAGAGCGCGTGTGGTGTGGCAGCAAAACACTCAACTCAACTCAAATCACTTCACAACAAGCAATAGTTTTGTAGATAGTGAGCAATCCCCTCCCCCACTCCCCTCCCACCCCAAAAAAAGAAAAAACACTTCAGTTTCTTGCCACTCCCAGTTGAAGTTTACTGTCAACCTAAACATAAAACGAGAATTACATGTTGTGCATTTGCCTGATGGCTGAATGCTGATAAACGATGCACAACACCAACAAATGGGCTAAGAAATAGGACCTGTTAAAAATGACACTTTCATTTCTTTTAATGGGAAAAGTTGATTTGAGCTACACATTTTTTGAGTTGCGAGCATGGTCACAGAAGGAATGCAACACGGGGTCAAGGCACAGCTGCATTTCAAAAAAATATCCCAAAACAATTATTATTATGCTATCTTGTCCTTGTGGCCTTAATAAGAGGTCATAAATTAGATCATAGTGACCTTTTTTTCTTAAACGGGTCTGAAAAAGTCTTGGTTTCCTTAAAGCTGACCTTCCACCCCTTCCCTGCATTTGGTCTCGTCTCTACCCAACCGCAAGGCCCACGGACCACACCAGAGCCGCGCTCTCTCAGATTATGTGTGGACACTGCCTTCCCATCCACACCGCTGACCTCTGACCTCCATGTGTTTGTGAGGCGTTCACTTTGCTTCACCCAAGTGTGAATACAGACCCACTAACAGAAGTCCCGCCAAGCATACCTCGGATACTTTGACCATCAGGAAAAGTGCCAGTCCATCTTACAGTTTGTAACTCTGATACTCCTTTCCCTGCAGGCAGCTGATGGAGAATCAGATTACCGTGATCGAGCGTGGGGCTTTTGATGACATGAAAGAGCTCGAGAGACTGTGAGTACCATCCCGCAGACAGACACTTTTATTATATTTCTAAACCTGAGCTAGTGGGCCCAGGCATTAATTGAGTGTAACGTGACTAACAAGAGGAGCTGTCCATAAAATGTGGATGGACTACAAGGCAGTTTCCTGTCATGCCGCTGTGGGCAGATGGTGCCGGGAGCATTACTTGTTACCCGCCGCTCTCACCGCACGCCGAGACCCATGTGGACAGAACCATCACTCCTCAGCAGCTTGTAAACTAGCCCTGAAAAGACATGGGCAAATACGGCCAACCACACCTCAACCGGCACATGAGCAAATCAGTAGTGCTAGCCACATGGAATTGGATGCCGCAGATGACTTTATGGGCACGCGCGGTTAGTGCTCAAACCATAAAAGACTTTCCCTTAATCCGAAACCCACATTAATAATCTCAAATGGTTAGATATACAGCGTTTCCTATCCCCGGACCATCGTAGAAATTCAGTGGCAGGTTCTTCGATATTTAAAGATAGCCACAAACCCACCAGTGGCTAGGCTAGGGGCTGTGACGTGGGCAGCGGTGCACACTGTTAATTACCATGATGCACTGAAGCGCCATCTTGGTCATTCTCCGGAGTGAGTTGCACAGGTACCAACATCTGTGTTGAACTGTGTGCGCTATGCACGGCAGAAGCCTGTCGCTCAGATTTGCAGCCTCTCTGTCACAGCCACTGCATTCACTCCCATGGGCCTCGCGTACTCGGCGCAGAGAGAAAGAGTTGCGGTTTCCAACAAATTAGCAACAGGCTGTTCCTCATTGACTGAAAATGGTCTATTTGCATATAGCCTGCCAGCCTTGGATATGACGTGTTTGCCAGCCATTGTTCTAGTCAAGAAACATTGCGTATGGATAAAACTCGCTTCAAATCCACACATGTTCTCACACGTAATTGATGTGATTCACTTGTTACCAAATGGGAATTTGGGGGAATTGTTACTCCCCGAAAGAGAGCGCTAGATGTAATCCTACCCTAGTGCTGTGTTGTAATGTCACTTTGTAGAGATAATTCACCGTGCTGTCTTTGACTTAGCAGTTTAATTCCCCCTGAACTTTCACGTGGATATTTATGTGACATTCAGCGGAGACTGAAACACAATAGCCCGTGGCTACTCTGATTCGACTGCATCTTGCAGAAATTATTCACAGCTTCCACACACACGCACACACACACGCATTCACCGGCTGATCATATCCTCTTGCCTGCCGTAGGCGCCTGAACCGTAATCAACTGCAGCACCTTCCAGAGTTGCTCTTTCAGAAGAACCCTGGCCTGTCTCGTCTGTAAGTAACTGCTGTTTCTTCTTCTTTTTTTTGTTTTTTTATTTGACTTCTACCAACCATGCTCCCCCACCGCCTGTTCACATGTCATCTCTCAACACTCCTCTTGCTCTCGTGTGCAGTAACGCCGCTCAGCAAGGTTTCATTTACCACTGTGGGCTCTGGTTTAGTGCGCACAATTAAACAGCAGTCAGACATAAATTTTACTCACTGAACGGCCAGTTGAGGTTTCAATGATCCCCAGTGTTCCTTTCTGGCTTTTGGACTCGTGGGCCTGCATTCCTAATCATCGGCACTGTCTACTAGAGAGAGTGCACTGCTGACAAGGAAATTATGTGTGGCCCAATTGATCTAGGGATCTGTTCCAATTTAAATAACTGTTGCTGAGATATATCTGTCTATGGACTGCATCTCTATTCCCTGATGTACACACACATTCGTCCCATGTAGTGAAAACCTCCCACAGTAATGCAATTTTTTTTTTTAATCATCATCGGCAGAAGTTTGTTGTTTTTTATTTTTTATTTTTTTAAGATCTCTAACTTTTGGATAATCTGTTACCCTATTGCTAGCTGATCGTTCCATCTCACATTGTTGCAGTTACCTGCAGCATCTGGGAACAATAAAACAGTGGGTCATGGAAAACGGATTTCCATGCCATCTATTCATGCTGTGTGGTTTTTTACTAGCTCATGATCCTCACCTCAGACCCCCATCCGCTTACCTTGCGCTTGATGTCTAATACCATCTTGAATCCATTCGATTCTCCCTTGTAACTGTCTTCACACATCAGCTGTCATTAAGCCAAAGTTGTCCCATCAGGTTTTAGGGCAAAGTGTCATCCGTCAGTTTACTGGCTTGCCTGTCTAGCTAGAATAGACACAGAGCGGGCCGAGGCCCCACAGACCGGCGCACGGCCTTGGACAAGCGTGATTAGTCCATCTGGGGCAAGCGACTCTGCCAACAGCCAGCGAATTGTGCTAACACAGTTCCCCCGTTTCATCCAATCTGACTTCACGCTCATTATTCTAAACTCTGCGCCGGCACATCCTGCACAATGAGACCTTGGTCACGTTGGCTAAATCGATTCACAATGTGTACACCGTCATTTGTTCTTGACCCTTGGCTGAATTAAAGTGAGCCATAATGGGGCATGACGCTTTTCAGGTATGTTGTATGTTCCTAAGCAGTTAAAACAAACGAGCAGTCCAGCCGCGCCGACTTTAAACTAAAGCAATCATTGTGACGTCCTTGGTAGATTGGCACATTGATTTGTGCAAGACTTCATGAACAGCGGGAAAAGACAAAGCCTTTTCTTGATGTGTTTCTTAACTCTTGATGTGTCTGGGCCACACTGTGGGTTCTGGTTCCATGTCTGATGCAGTTAGGTTACGGCCTGTCTCACTCCTGCCCGCAGTTTTTAATGGACTTAAAAGGTTCTCCGTTCCCAGGGGAAGGCCTTTTGCTGATTTTTGGTTTTTATCTTTTACTTTTGTCAGAAACAAACAGGTTATGATAATGTACTGTAAGTTATATGTACACCTTTGCACTTGCTCAAAGTGCTCACCGAGGCTTGTTAAGGTCTACCTTTCCAATCCTAACAAGGGAGATTATCATAAAAAAGTGGTGCGCTCACCCAGATGGTTCTCTTCATTTGAATGCCAAATGTCTTTCTGAACCTTTTTACACTTTTGCTCTTTGTCTCGATGTGCTCCTCTGTTGAGCTCAAGCCTGTTTTTAAGTGAGGCTTTAGAGGAGAAAATGAGCAACACACACACTCACAAAAATGAGGGTCCTTGGGTTAATGCAGGTATTTGTGCGTGGGATTAATAGGCTAATGGCAGCCAATTTCATAATGACACAATCACAAACCGAAAAAGGTTAGGTATGAACACTTCCTCGATAAAATGTTAACTTTTAACTCCACTCATTGTTTGCATTTCAAACATTATGCTACTCGTGCATGACGCCAACATTTTGGAAAATCTTAATGGCAGACTTTTGTCAGGTCATTTTTTGTGGAGGGATAACAGTTCAAATAGAGAAAGCCAAGTGAATAGCTAGCGGGTTACGTTTTAAATGTTCACCTCAAAGAGAAGGAAGGAAAGCGTTCAAGTTTATTTCGAAGTTGAGAGAGCAGCATATCCTGTTTGCAGTAATATCCGGTTCAAGCAGTTGATATTTTAGAACCGTGTTTAAAAACAATCAAAAACAAAAACATTATAGCCATCTCATCATCCAGCCATCCATTGCCTGAAGCACTTATCCTCACTCTCGGGTCACGGGCACGCTAGAGCCTATCCCAGCTGCCGTTTGGGCGGGAGCTGGAGTATCTACCCTGAACCCGTCGCCAGCCAATCGCAGCCATTTCATCATGTTTCACTCTAATATGAAACCTCACACCTACAAGAAGTCCAACGGGAACAAAAATATGGACTTTATCCTGCCGTCTGTGTTTGTACAGCTTTAGTTCTTCGGGGAAAACTCTTGAGATTTTGGTGGGTATCTACTTCCCCCTGAAATGTGTTTGATAGAACTGAGGTCAAACTCATCCAAACCAAGCATTCACGTAGAAAGCAAAGCACTGCTGATACAATGATGCTGCGCCTGAAAATGGCCCAAAGACAGTGAGATGAAGGATCTTCTCCAACTTCTGATTGATTCATTCATCAATACGGAATTGTGTGGTTTGTGATTGCTGCCGTCTCTTCCCAGACCTGAGCGAGAGGAGACACTGATGCAATTGGGGCCGAGCTGAAATAATTAGAATTGATTTGAGATGATTAGCGGTAGTTAGGCGTTGTTACAAACCGCGACGTGATGGATGGCAGTTGGGTTCCAGTGATGGGATGTAATGTGAACGGCCACAAAGAGGTGAGAGGTCTGGCGCGGGAACATCAGTGACCAATAAGGGTGAAAATAGAATCGCATTCATCAACGTTAACAACCTGTTGGCCCCCTTCGCCTCATCCCACCCCCACGACGCTACACAGCTGTAATCTACTCATCTGTGCCTGTAATTAGCGTCTCCTCGCAGTGGGAGAGCAGCAGGAAGTGAGGACCGTGGGACGGTGGGGGAAAGGTGAGAGTACTTGGCGTATAGTGGAGAACAGTTAGCCGAGGAGATGCCCCGGAGCGATGCAGCATCTGGTTTAAGGTCAGGACAGGTTTCTGGGGGAAGTGGAGGTGAAGGTTGTTGCTTGTTGTTGCCACAACACAAGCTTGTCGGAAGCGGCATGTTCCACGGTGGGTGAGGGTTTGAGAGGTGAGCTTTCACCTTGGATTTCTCCTTGGGAGGTACAAAGGGCGGGGAGTTGTGTACTTGTGTACCAAAGGCGGGATAAGAAAATCCGGGAGGGCATGTCTGAATCGTCCTTAAGATCCCTTTTCCATCTTTCATTTTCATAGTGTAATGCCTGGTGACAGGCATCTTGACATCCACTAAACCCAAACACACGGCAGGAAATAGATACATAATGTAGATGCGGGCACATAAAAGAAAGAATATGGGAAATACAAATAACACCAATTAGACAGAGAACGACCTTGTAATTACATTTCCATGGGCTCATGTGTATTTCGGCGTCGCCCATGAGGGAATTATGTTATTTCTGGCATTTAAGATAACGGCGTTAACGATGTGTTGTGAAGTTCTATGGGAGAAGTGTTTCTGTTTGTTGATTGCGGAGGGAAGGAAGACTATCCAGAAAAAGTGGTGTACTCTATCATTCAACACTATAAACCATCCAACTGTCACCTGACTGCTGCTTTGCTTTTGCTTTCGGTGTGTTCCTTAGCTGCAGGTTGGCGTGGAGTCAGAAAATCAGCATTCAGCCTTTGACGACATGAAAAGAATTAAATCGCTGCGTCTGGTGCTGTTCCTGGTTGTGAGCCGGGCAGAGCGTCAATGCTCAAAACTTGTCTTGCTGTTTCCTTCTCTTTGTCCCTGCTAATGAATGACCCGCCTCAGTGAGCCCGGGTCCCTCGGAAGACTGTTTGGGCCCCGATTTTGCCAGACGTCTCCATGGCAACTCGTCTCCCTCAATCGCTTTCTGGGCCATCAGCGTGCCCTCTTGATTAAAATGGCCCGCCTCACATCTGTCCGGCATCAAACTTTCACTCCATCGGAACGTTCTTACGCTGAGCCGTTTTAGCGGCGATGACAGTTTCCAAAAAAAGACTGCACATGCTGAAATTAATTGCAACAGACTGTTTCAGGTTTTGGTGGCTTCAGTGGAGAGGTTGAGGAGGGCTCCCAGTGAAAAAAAGCAGTCATCTCTTGCCCAGCTTCCCTCCTTGTCAACCATTGGCTCATACTGTACATATGCAGCCAATGGTGAGTGAAACTGTCAATTTAAGGTGTTTGAGTTTTCGCAGCAGCATGAAATTCCTGACCTGGCGGCTGACCAAACCATCCAAGTCAGATATTAACTTCTGGCTCTTGCACCTCTTCCTGCCCCTGTCCTTGTCAGGTGGTAAAAGTGGCTTTTACGGCTTGTCGCTGTTTGCTTTACGAGTCCAGGACGTACGTGTGTGTGTGTGAGCGGGAGAGAAACACAGACTAAACCATGTGAAGTGAGCGGAAGCCAAAAGGGGGTAATTTAAAAACCACTACCCCATTTGAAATATTCACCACTTCAGCACAAGGGGAGCAAGAGAGGAGAAAAGAAACGGACAAAGTGGAGGCTGAACGGTTGAAATATTCAGAGCGAAAAAAATTCCGAAACAGCAGTGTTTATATTTGCTGACGATTCTGTGTCCGTCCTCATGACTAATTCAAGTGGTGGATTGAGGATGATTAAATATTCACACCAAAGCACAGCCACATCAATGCTGTTTTGGGTGTCCGACTTCTGCAACGCGCTGCTCTACATATGCACATGGATGTCAGCCTTGACGGTTTACAAACCAAGACACACACACACACACACGCACACAGACGATAAGCCACAATGACCGTCAAATCATACGTGTGAGCCATGTGTGTGTGTGTGTGTGTGTGT